GTACTTGGAAAACAATTTTGTCATTCTGTTCCATTTAAAGAATACTATATTTGCAAGAGGAATCATCCCGTTCGGAACCTTGTTTTCCAATATTACAATATGGCGATATCATACGTGACAAAAAACGGAGTGTTTTTAAAGTACATGTAAATATTTACGAAAATCTGCGAATTCTGTAGGTGCATCTTTTCTGTTTTAATTTCTTACACTATGGGACATATTTTTCATTAGTAATCCAAAATTTTTAAATAAAACAATTTAGAGCGCTATATTCGGCTGAGCCGAATCTTAAATACCCGCCACCAGCTATTTTAGTAATACTTTTTTAATTGATCAAATATTTGTAGAAATAAGTTTTCTCAAGTCTTAAATAGAAAAACCCCAAGATTTAAACAGCTTAAATCTGTTACAATTACAAGATTTATTGAACATTACAAACCCCATTTTCTTTTATATTTTTATAGCGCCCTAAGATATGCTTTAACGATATTTAATAATGTGTATGTATGCATGTGTGTGAAAGATTTAAGGATTTTCAAAATACATATATATAATTTTGTTTTACACAAATTGATAATGCAATTAGTTTAATACGGTTTTTTTTTTTTTTTTTTTTTTTTTTTCGATAGGTAGGTGAAAATCTTGCATTAGATACCCAGGTGTTGGTTGGGTTATGTCGGATTTCTACCGACTAAAAACACCTCCTTTCTCTTCCATGAGCCCTGCGGGACTGTCTATTACGATATTACTTCGCAGGACCGGATAGACTTAATTAGTCTCTGCTTCTAACTGCAACAATAGCTTTCTCTGCGTTTCTTCCACTCGTAACTTTTCGTGGACTTCTTTAATGAAGCTACAAACGATGTCCCAATTTTCTTTCTTTTCCATTGCCACATCTATTATGTTTGCGACGTTAATAACCCGTCCTATGACTACTTCAATTGACAAACGCGCATTTTCAAATCTTGGACAGCAGAACATAACATGCTCAGCATCTTCAGTTTGGGTTTTGCAATACGGACAATTTGGAGTCGTATCCAGACCAAATTTGTACAGATAGGACCTGTACCCTCCGTGCCCAGTGAGGAATTGCGTCAGGTAGTAGTTTACTTCGCCGTGACATCTGAGTACCCATGGTTCTATTTTTGGAATCAGTCTAAACGTCCATCTCCCTTTTAGGCTTTCTTCCCAACTCTTCTGCCATATTTGCATGGATTTTAATCTTTCCATTTTCGCTATTTCCTTTGCATTTGATGGGTTTGATTTTTTTTGCTCATATACCCGTCTTGCTTCGTCCGCTAATATCTCGATAGGGATCATTCCGGCTACAACATAAGCTGCTTCTTCAGAATTTGTTCTATATGAGCTGCAAACTCTTAAAGCACATAATCTGTACACGGATTTCAGCTTTTTTGCAGCTGACTTGACTTTGAGGGCTTCCGACCAAATAGGGGCTGCGTATAGGATCGTCGATTTTACTACTGTTGAGATTAGTCTTCTTTTGCACTGTTTGGGTCCTCCGACGTTAGGTATCATTCTAGATAATGCAGCCGCAATATTAGATGCTTTCGAGCTTATCTTTTCAATATGTGGTTTGAAATTTAGCTTATCGTCTATAACTACTCCTAGATATGTAAGATGCTGCTGAGATGAGATGGTGTGGTTTCCAATTTGTATATTTATTTTCTCCCGTTTCCGACGACTGCTTATTAGCACAGCTTCTGTTTTGTGTTCGGCTAATTCCAATCCGCTTGTTTTCATCCATACTCTAATAGCGTTCACTGTTTCATTTGCTAGTAGCTCGATTTCTTCAATATATCTAGCAGTGACGACTATAACGATGTCGTCCGCGAAACATACTGTGTTAGCTTCATCTGGAATTTTAAGGTTTAATACATCATTGTACATGATATTCCACAGTAGTGGACCTAAGACCGAACCCTGTGGAACACCTGCGGTTATGGTGTATGTACTCTTGCCATCGTCAGTGTTGTAGTAAAGCTCTCTGTTGGAGAAGTAGCTCCCAATAATCCTTGTCAAGTACTCGGGTACTCCAAGTCTGCATAGGGTATCCATGATACGTCCCCAATCCGCAGTATTAAATGCGTTTTTCACGTCGAGGGTTATTATTGCACAATATTTTCTGTCCGCTCCTTGTCCTTCAATCGCCTTTTTAGCTGTATTCACTACAATGTTTATTGCATCGATCGTGGATCTTGACTTCCTGAATCCGTATTGACGGTCGGAGAGTCCACCCTTTGCTTCCACAGCAGGAAGTAGTCGTTTGTATATAACGCTTTCCAAGGTCTTGCCAATGGAATCAAGAAGACATATAGGTCTGTAGGATGAAGGCTCTCCCAAGGGTTTATTAGGTTTCGGAATTAGAACTAATGTTTGTTTCTTCCACCTTTCTGGGAATATACCTTCTTCCAAACAACTATTGAACACTTTAGCGAATAGGCTTGGAGCGCATAATATCGCTATTTTCACTGCTCTATTTGGAATACAATCTGGTCCTGGGGCTTTTTTGTCAGATAACAGCATTGCCATTTGAACCAGCTCTTCCTCCGTTACTGCCGTTATTGTCTCGCGACTTATAGCTGTGTCTCTTGTGAACAGAACGTTGATATGTTCAGGAAACAAAGTTTCAACTATTCTTCTTACTAAGAGGGGACAGGTAGGTTGTGGAGATCTTCCTGCCTTCAAACGAGAAGTAACTACTTTATATGCTTTCCCCCAGGGGTCTGCTTCTGCCTCGAGACATATTTCTCCAAAGCATTTGCGCTTGCTTCTTGAAATAGCGTTTTGGAATTCTCTTCTCGCTATTTTGTATTCCTGTTGTCTTTCCATGAAATCATGTCGGTTTCGTCGGCGTTGGCTTCTCCTTCTGGATTTTAAGCATTTCTTTCGGAGATTACTTATTTCCATGTTCCACCAGTAGGTCGGCGGCCTGTTTTCAGTGATCCTTCTTCTCGGCATGGATATGTCACATGCTTCTCTTAATTTTGACATTAGTTGTCTAGCCATTTCTGTCGCTGTACCTTCCAATGTTAGGCTACTAGTGATTGCAACCTTGAAGGATTCTTCATCAAGCTTGTTGGATGCCCACCCTCTAAAACTCGTGTGTGCTGTGTTCTTTGCGCTATACTTCGTATTTGATTCCTCAATAGTGAAGATTATGGCCTGATGGTCGCTGTGAGTGTACTGTTCACTGACTTTCCAGTCGATCCTTCGTGCCATAGAACTACTAACAAATGTAAGATCCACAATTGAACCTAGACCTCTTGCTCTGAAGGTGTTAGCATCGCCCTTATTAACTAAGGTTAAATCATCACTGGAAAATGTTTCCAGTAAGATGCGACCTCTGTTGTTAGTGGATCTACTTCCCCACTCAGTAGACCACGCGTTAAAATCTCCGGCGATAATTTTTGGATTGTGGGTTTCCGCGTCTCTTTTCAGCCGGTTTAGCATTTGTTCGAATTGCTCGATTGATGCGCTAGGTGGGGCGTAACAGCTATATATGTATATGCCTCCTATTTTGGCTCTTACAAATCCTTCTTCCAATTGTTTTTGGGTGTTCTCTATCGCACGCTTTCCACATGCCCATATCGCTGTTTTGCTAGACTTGTCCTTGGCCCAGACGCTTGTTTGAAGATTTCTGTGTTGTTCACATATAATGGCGACATCAACACCAGTTTCGCAGATAGTCTGCGAAAGCAGGTCCTGTGCCGCCCGACAGTGGTTGAGATTAAGTTGGATAAATCTCATCTGCGGACTTTTTCCAGTGCTTCTTTGAAAACTGGACATCTTCCGCTACCTGCCACATGGTTGGTTTCTCCTCTTTGCCTTTGTTTGCAGAGCATGCATTCTGGATCTTTTGTGCAGTCCTTTGCTATGTGCCCACTTATTCCGCACCTTCTACACAGTTTAGATCTGTCTTGAGGATTTGTACAATACTTTGCCATGTGTCCGTACCCCAAGCATCTATAGCATTGCCGAATGTTCACCCTTTCTCTAATGCGACATACTACCCATCCTATCTTCACCTTTCCAATTTGTAGGAGTCGGTAGCATATTTCCGAAGGAAGACTTATTGTTGCCGTCTGAGTGCCGCCGTAGGCTCTCCTCAAGCTCTTAATGTCTTCTAGTTTCATTTCGGATACGCCTAGTTGAGTAAGAAAGGCGTTGCGAATATGGCGCCGTGCTATAAAGCCATAGGTAATAAAGCCATATGGTTATATTTCTCATTTCATTGAGAAATAAGGCCATATGACTTTATTTCCATGTAAGGAATGAAATAAAACCATTATGGTGTTATTGCTCATTTAATTTTTTTCATAATAAACAAATTTCTGTCTCTAGTAGGGAAATTTGTTGTTGGAGCTGTTTCAACGTAGTTGAAACAACACAAAACCAAAGTTAATTATTTACAAATAATTAACTTTGGAAATAAAATGCAGGTTGCACTTACTTGTGGTTCAAGGTGAGTAAGAACACAGGTTTGGTTAAACGTTATAAATTCCTTTATTTTCAGGTTTGGGTTTTAGGGTTTGTTTGCTGCTGACGCTGCTGAGGTTTTTTTTTTTTTTTTTTTTTTTTTTTTTTTTTTTTTAAACGTTATAAATTCCTTTATTTTCAGGTTTGGGTTTTAGGGTTTGTTTGCTGCTGACGCTGCTGAGGTTTTTTTTTATTAAAGAAAAAACTGCAATGGCGCTTAAGTTGATTGACAGGACGTCAGTTTTTGACACCTGTCAATCTCCTTAAGCACCATTCAGAAGCGTAGCGAGCAGAAGGGGCACATTTAAAGTAGGGGCTCTATGTCCAAGTCAAGGCAGTCTTCATCTGCTGTCTCGGAGGCGCTGTCGCGGGCCTCAACACATAATTCAAATTTATTTACAAAAAAAAATGTAGTTCACTTCACAAATGAATATAATAAAGTTCAGTTCACAAATGAAATGTAATAAAATTCAGTACACAAATGAAATGTTTCAAAATTTTTAATAATTAATAATATATAAATGTACCATTCTTGATAATGGCACGACAAATTGGACACAATGTTTGTGTTCCTTTTTGCTTAGCACTTTCTTTCAGTTGTTGGTAACATGGTTGACAAAGTTTGAAATGTTTGCATGGATCAAACAGTATTTGCCTTTCCCTTTCACAACAAATAATACACGTAAGATATTGTTGTTCTTTTTCTATTGTGTCAGTGCTGTCTTCTCCACTGCTATTTGTATCTGATTCGTCGTCATCGCTGTCAATTGTATTAATGAAACTTTCCTCAATCATACAGTTCTTCATTTTAGAGAACTGTCCGAGTAAAGTATTCAGTGTTATTTTCTTCTCCCTCAGTAGCTGATATTGCTTCTGTATAAATTTGTTTCGCTTTTCAAGGTAAGTGTTACTCTTTGTGTATAAAGATATGCATCCGGAAATGGATTTTAAAAAATCACTTGACTTAACCGCATCTAAATCGCATAAACAGTCAAGAAATCTATAAAAATTGCCATGTTTTGGAAGCTGCATATTAAGCTGCCTATGAAAGCCTTCTGCGGCGTTGCTTGTTCGGATCGGTTCTTTGTACACAGAGAAGTTCGTTACTTTTTCCTTAAACAAAAAGAAAATATATTTTTTTCTTTTAATAAAATAAACTGTATAATACCTTTTTCATCCAGTAAGAATCAAAATATTTGATGAAAGGTTGAAAATAGCTTTCTGTCATCTTTCCTTTAATATATTTTACATCCATTGCATCTGCTTTCAAAATTTGGTATGCTGCTGTTATATCGTTTGGTTTTAACAATGGCAAATATAAGAATTTATTAAAGAAAACTTTAGCCTGATTATTCTTATTTAACTCATTTATAAATCCAGGAATTTTCAAAGCCTTTCGCCGCAATGCTTGTGTGTAATGAAACCAACAACCAACGAGTTTTACTGTTGGGTACAACTTTTTAATAGCATTTCGAAGCCCATTTTCATAATCAGTTATAACTCTGTTTGGTTGCAAATCTAATATATTGGACTTTAAATAATGCAACATGTGCGTATATGCTTCTTCTGATTTCTTGGACATCAAAACATATATAAATGGAAACGTCTGTAAGCGGAAGAAAAGTAATTTATTTTAATGAATTTGTTTCTAGTCATATTACATGTTACTTACATGTTCGCAGTGAACGAAATGAATAATGAGCAATTGCTTAAAATCCTTCGATGTTGGAACCACATTAAAAGTTGCATCCATTACGTAATTACGTGGCTCAGACGTGCTGCTCATTGATTGTATAGTTTTTGAAATTGTTGGCGAAACGAAAAGAGTGTATGAGAAATTCTCAGTAATTATTGTATCAGTATAAAATTTTTCTTCACTGTTATATCTGGACATGGCAAATTTTTGAACAACTTCTTCATTTTTAAATACTTCAATGATGTTACTAAAAGTCATTGGAGATTTAGGAAATTTTTTTTTTTTATATTGAATAGTTGTCTGCGCATTCTTCCATATTCTATTGTTTTGGAAGCTTCTTTAAATTTTTTACATTGTTGGTCAAATATATCACGTACACTTAATCTTTTAATTGGCGCATTTTGAACTTTACATTTAATTGCATTGATAACTTCCAATTTTCTAAAAAGTTCACCTTGTGGTCCATGATTATGAGTTTGGAATTTTCCACTTTTTCGGCAATATATTGTGTTATTTAAGTCCACCGCAACACCAACGTTACAGTTTTTTTCATAGCAATAATAATATTTAATACTATTTCTGCTATATCTATATTTAAATATTTGTTCTTCATCTTTTATGTATAATAATTTGCTGGATGCCCTAAATCCAGGTATTAATTCATATTCGTATATTTGGGCCTCTTCCATTTTATTATTTGATTTAATTTTCTGATGATGTTTGCTTGCAACACGAGGTTAGTATACTGAATTGATAATGTAATAATAAAAAAATAATACATAGTCAGTACCGCTACTTTTTCTTTTGATAAGTTCAAGGCGAATTTACATAAGGTGCTGTTAATCAATCAGCTGATTATTTTTTCTTCACTTGACTGGTACGCACTGATGTCAGAGTTTGTTATTGTTTACATTTTTATATTTGAAAATTTCCGATAAAACGTAGAAAAACTTTGTTATTTTTTTGAATTATTCATGAAAAAATCTAAAAATACCAAGCATTTATTTTATTTAAATAATGAAATAGTTTGTATGTATATGCAAACTTTATTTTAGAAAAATATATATTTTTTTATTAAATTTACACTGTGTAGATAACATGATTAACTAAAAAAATTCTGTTCCGGAATACTTTATATAACGAATACGGAATACTTTATATAGTGACATTTTTAAAAAAAACTAGGTCGCGCATCGAGTGGGGCTCCAAAGTTTAATACATTTCAGTTTAATCGCTTAATAAAAATTTTCTAAATAGCCGGCCTACGGCCGGACGCAAGGATTTACAACTCTATAATATGTCCAACACCGGCTTCGCTTAGTAAAGATTTCCTAAATAGCCGGCCTACGGCCGGGCGCAAGGACTTTCTTCTCTATGGTATGTCCAACACCGGCTTCGCTTAGTAAAGATTTCCTAAATAGCCGGCCTACGGCCGGACGCAAGGATTTACAACTCTATAATATGTCCAACACCGGCTTCGCTTAGTAAAGATTTCCTAAATAGCCGGCCTACGGCCGGGCGCAAGGACTTTCTTCTCTATGGTATGTCCAACACCGGCTTCGCTTAGTAAAGATTTCCTAAATAGCCGGCCTACGGCCGGACGCAAGGATTTACAACTCTATAATATGTCCAACACCGGCTTCGCTTAGTAAAGATTTCCTAAATAGCCGGCCTACGGCCGGGCGCAAGGACTTTCTTCTCTATGATATGTCCAACACCGGCTTCGCTTAGTAAAGATTTCCTAAATAGCCGGCCTAAGGTCGAACGCTCTTGTTACACGGAAAGTGTATTTTTAGCGAAGCCGGTGTCCAATATATCTCAGAGGAGAAAACCCTGGCGCCCGGCCGAAGGCCGGCTATCAAACATATATTTTTTTTATTTCGTGATATAAAAGTAATATAATGAAATAACTTCCCAAAAATATTTTTAGGGATTTATTTCATTTTTGAATTTTGAGGAATTATTGGCAACTGATTCTTTTGTCAATTTGTAACCGTAACTATTTTACTGTTATGGCGTTATTTCAACTTTGGTTGCTTTTAGTTTATGGTGATATTGCACTTGGGTGTAGGCAATAAAGCCATATGGTTATATTTCTCATTTCATTGAGAAATAAGGCCATATGGCTTTATTACCTATGGCTTTATAACACGGCGCCTGCGAATATCATCTTTTGTTGTGACCTCGTCGATATCTCTACATTCTATAATTGTCTCCTGCCTTCGAGTCATGATCTCAGCTTTAGGGCCAATAGACTTCTTCATTTGTCCACGGAATAGATCCACACTTGCTTGATCCTTGGTATTAATCTCAAGCAGGAGCTCTCCTTTCTGTGTCCTTCTTATTCGAGATACGCTTTCTCCCACGTCCTTTAGGGATGGATCTCCTTTGAGTTGCTTCAGAATGTCCGCATATGACGTGTCCCCTTTCGCGGTGATTATCATGGCGGCATTCCTCCTTTTTCTAGGTTTACTCTTATTTTTAACCGTTTTCCACGTCTTAATTTCATCTAACGGAGGCTCTTCTGGTCTAGGTCCTTCGCTTTCTTGCTTCTCTTTCTGCAATTTATCAGCCTTTTTACTCCTTTTTTTTGCTTGTATTTTCGGCGATTCTTCTCCAGAGTCTCTACTTCTTTTCTGAGGGGCTTCAGTTGGGCACAGTTTTGGTGTTGTTTGTGTTGCCTTCACGCTTATCTCCATAGCTTGTGATGGTTCTTTTCCTTCCGTTTGCAGCTTCGCCTTATTATACATGTTTTTTATGGCCCATGCCTGCTCCTTAATAGGAATAAATATGTTATTTTTCCCCTTCATGAGTTTTATTAACACATCTATCATATTTCCTAGTTCCAAGAATGGGCTATTTTTACTAGCGTTGTGTTCTTGGTTGGTGTAATTCGCGTTTGTTGTAGTCTGCGCCGGCGTTGATCTCGATGATGGTGTAGGTGGCGTCCTCTGCATTCCAGAACTTCTCTGAAAAGGATTTTCCACGTTCCACGGCTCCTTGTCTTTTGAATTGCCTGTAGCATTAGCTTCTGCTTCAGCCAGGTGTGCTACTGAAGTAGAAGTATTACAGTAACTGGATATCGACGACGGAGAGCCTGTTCTCTCGCTCTCTACTGCCGCCGGTACTGGGTTTATTACTCCCTGCACCGTAACCTTGTTTCCATTGTTTTTCATATTCGTTGTTGTTTAGGGTTTGCGTTTTTAACCTATCCGCCAGGTGTAGAATCAGCAGTTCCTAACATGGAAGCAGACGCTGACCAGGAAGCCGTCCACTATGGAAGCCGTCGCGCCTGGATTTTTCCTTCAATGTTGCTGACTAGGGATCCACGAAGTTGTCAACCTTCTAACTACTCCTCTCTAGAGGGTACCCCTGTGGATGGATACTTAATTTAGGGCGGTATCCTCTCGCCCTGACACAAGACTTCATCAAGCTTTTGCACCATTTTAGTGCGCTCTCCATACCTGCCACAACTAGGGTCCGCGGGGTCGTTATTCCCGTTATCACCGCCTGGTGATACCCTTGCGGGTAGTTTAATACGGTTAAATTGCTTTTAGTGGAAGGACTTAATATGGGAGATATGACCAATTATAAACCGATCGTAAAAAATCTTTAAGCAAAATTTCTGTACATAAAAGCTATATTTCAGTCAAATTTTGTATCTATATCGTAATTTAGTAATAAGTAATGTGTGTTCAAGTGATTTTCTGAAGGGACATTTTGTAATGGCCGTTTAGGACAAAAGACTATGACAATAGAATACATAACTATCGGTTTCTGAGATTTCGAATCTTCGGTATAAAATTTTAATTTTTGAATAGAAATCAGTTGAATGTATTGGATGAATAGAATATAAAACTTTAACATATCTCAATATTCGGCTTAATTTTACAAATAAACATAAACATTTTAAATTCGTCACTTTATTCGACTTTATTTGTAATACACATTTGAAACAAAGATTGTTGTGCTTATAAGGAAACTAATCCTATAAAGATTTAGATATCAGTTTGTAGTTTCGTATTATGGTACATCTTCATCTCATAAATTATAATCGGCATTGAATGCAGCATCGCGGAGTAAATACACAACTTTTATAACTCATACTCATAACACTCATCTTTAAGAATTATAGGGAATTCGTTGCGAAAGAGGAACCTTTTTATGTCGGAACTCTCTTTTATTCGTTTAGAAAGTGAATGATTTGTCTAAAATCTAATTTTGCTAATTTTATATTCAGCTTCAAGTTTTATTTTTGCTTTTTGTAACTAAGTTTAACAGCTGATATTGTTTTTGTTTTGTATCTTTTAAGGGCCTTTCACACGGTCACACTTTACGTACGACAAGTCTAATGAAAAAGTAAAATGAAATTCCATCCGTATGACAAAAAAGAGAATAAAAGTCGTATGATTTATATTTTTTGTGTTTACACGATTGGTATAAAACAATAACAAAGTAAGATGGAACAGCTGTTTCACTTTTTTTGTATGTGTTTACATAAAAATACATCCCTGATCTAATACGACTTGCTTGTTTTTTGAATCATTTCAAAAAATGAAGAGAGCCATACGACTGTAAAATTTTCCATCCGTATTTTCTCTCAATGTGTGATGGTTTCATTACATATTGCGTTTAGACGATCCCATCCGTTCTCTTCTACACAAAATTTTGACAGATCATATTACTCGTGTGCTCGTGTGAAGGGGGCTTTAATGATATTTGCTTGGAAGAGTTCATAGTTGTATATATAGTACATTATTATATAGTATTTTAAGGTTTGTGTCTTGGATAAATAGAAGAAAAAAACGCTGGAATGGAATATCATAATTATCATATACATTTATAATTAAAACAAGGGAAATAAAATAATACCTAAAATAAAATTTTCATAATTAATTTTTTTTCAAAAATTATTTTTTATCAATCTTTCACCCAGAATAGTAAAATATTGACGAATGTTCTAAAAAACGAACATTTTATTATTTCTCCTGAATATGTTCATATTTTCCAATGATGGTGAAATAAACCCTATTTTTCGTAGTTTAATAATATAAAATGGGAGAAAATGGTTTCAAACTTTTAAAACATAATTTTGAGTTAAATAAAGTTAGTTTAGTTAAATATTTTAAAGTTTACTGAAGATTTCATTTAGTTTTAACGCTCACGTTAAAACTAAATGAAATCAACCAAATTCACTGGGAATAATCACTGTTTTCCTAAGCAGTTTGGTATTGAAGATCAGTAAAATCGGTTCACAACGTAAAAAGTTATGAGTAAAAATTTCAGACTACTTTGATAAAAATTAAGTTTTTTTCCTAATTCTTGAGTAGTTTTCTCAGAAACTACCTAAGATAATTCGACAAATTTTGTCACAGATTATTTTTTCCATCTATAGATTAATTATGTTTAAAATTGTAACAATCAATCCAAAATTTCCCATAGCCCCCATACAAAGGTACATATTCCCGGAAATTAATTTATCGTTAATAACTTCCTCAAATATATCGGTATCAACACAAAATTTTATACATTGGTCATTGCTCCCGTATGAGGTCCACCTTTGAAAATCACTTAAATGAACATATTTTATTGATAAATAAAGCTTATGGGCGTAAAATTCGACATGAATGTGTTTTGTGTATATATGAATTACCCTACGAAATTTGTTCCGGATCGGTCCATAATCGGTCATAGCTCCCATATAAGGTCCACATATGAAAATCACTTAAATGCGCATAATTCATTGATTAATAAAGCTATCAGTGTAGAACTTGATGTGAATATATTTTGTATATAGATATAAATCATTCAGTGAAATTT